GGTGCTGGAACTGGCTCAGCTTCTCTGCCCATGGTGCTTGGGATGGTGGTGGGGGAGCTTCTTTCTGGTTGCTGGCACTGGCTCACCTTCTCTGCCCTAGGAGCCTGGGATGGCGGCAGGGAGCTTCCTTCCAGGTGCTGGAACTGGCTCAGCTTCTCTCCCCTCAGAGCTTGGGATGGTGGTGTGGGGGGGGAGCTTCTTTCCGGGTGCTGGAACCGGCTCAGCTTCCCTGCCCTAGGAGCCTGGGATGGTGGCAGGGGAGCTTCCTCAGTTCACCCTCTTCTGAGACCACAGGAGCGCCCTTTTCTTTCTTGGCACAGACTGTGGGGTTTGTCTCCCGAGTGGATCCTGGTGCTCGAGGCAGGAACTAGTGTGTGGTGCTGGGTGTTCTTGAGTCTACAGGAAACTCACAACGTGCTGGTGTTACCAGAAGGGTAAACTAAGGTTCACAGAGACTCTGTGACTTCAGAGCCTGGTGGCTATGGAGTGGGCACTGGGGTTGCCACTGCAGTCAGGTGGTAACTGGGGGGAGTGGGGCGGTGCCTGCCAGCTGCACAGACAGCTCTGTAGTCTTGTAACCTGGCATCCTTAGCCATCCCTCCAGCCAAGAGCTGCGGTTCGTGGGCCATTTACACCTGGTGATATTCAATTTATTTTATAAGATTGCTCTTAAAGATTTCACAGGCAGCATCTTAGCATTAAAGAGGTTGTGTACAAAAGGAGAAAGAACAATGCATTCATCATCACAGTGCCTTGGCTTTTAGTGCCTTTTCTTGCCTTTTCGTAAGTACTTTTCCTGTCTGGCTGTAATCAGCGTGAGCAGATCATCCCATGTCCTGGTGTTTCCACCTGATCACCTCTCAGAATACTTCCTGAGTCTGTGACATCGTGGAAGGAGACAGGCAGCAGCTCCATCTGGCTCAGTCCCTTGATGGTCATGTGGCTTCATGTGTCACTGTCTGGGAAACAGAGGTCCTGACCCTTTCTCTGCTAGGAGCTCCTGAGAAAGCTCCTGAGAAAGCTCCTGAGCTCCTTTCTGCGCATGCAGAAAGCACTGGGTAGAGAGGAAAGTCTCATCCAGGTGACCTACTCCTCCAGAGCTCGGCTACTATCTGTCATTCCTAACGGAATTACCTATTCATGTCATAAAATTTTGGCAAAGTATAAAAGGAAGGAAAACCACTTCTAGACTTTTTTTAAGTTGTAATTGCTTTTCACATTTTGCGTTATTCCCTTCTGGTCTTCTTTTATGTGTGTTGAGTTTTATTTAATTGATGTAGTAAAATGGATACAATTTTGTATTATTTTCACATATCTTTTGATGATAAGCACTTTCCTGTGGAATTGTGGGGGCTCCATGAGTGGTTCTGAGGGTTGCACAAGCTTGCCATAAATGGAGCTCTGTCACTACCACCCAGCATTTATTTGCATCTTTCAGGTCGTTTGCGGTGCCATCTGCATGGTTTTGGATGTAGGGCTGTTCCCATGGCTTAGACAGGTGTTCAGAGAGGAGCTGTTGGCCAGGGGCATAGAAAGGTCAGGTTCATGGTGTCTTGCATGGGTCTTTACTGCCATATGCTGGGCTCTGGTTTGTTGAGGAAGGATGTAAACATGACAGGCCCTTATCCCCCTGGAGCTTGAGGTCCAGCAGGAGGGTTGGACAGCAGTGCAGGCTGCATGTGTGCCATGGCAGGGAATGTGGGGACTAGGACCTGCACTAAGACATTCTGGAGAAGTAGAGGCTGAGCCCAGAAGCAAGAGTGAGAGAGGTGAGATCAAGGCCCGCAGAGGTAGGTGGTTGGTTGGAGTCTGGCAGACAAGGCTGTCATGGGTGGGGAACATGAGGCCACAGGTGTGATCACCTGCAGGGTGCCCTAAGCAGGTAGACAGCATCTCCACACTCTTAGGAGCAACGAAGGGCTGTAAAGGCATGTGGTGTGCTGGGATGTCTGTGACGCCTGGGTAGGAGGGACCAGAGCATTTGGGTGGCTGAGCATTCCCAAGAGAGACCTCATGAGCCCTCACTGAGGCACCTTAGGCCTGGATTGGAAGGCTGAGGAGTGAGCCGGGACTGTGGGTGTTGAGTTATCCCCCCGGATGCTCTGTTGGGGCCTGTGTGCAAGATCCTTCCCTCCTAAATCTCACCCAACAGCCCCACTTCTCCTTGTGGGTTCCCTTTTCTTCCCCCAGCCCCATATCCAAGACATCACATAAAGCCAGGTGTCCTAAACTGCTTGTCGGCATTGTTCTGTGTCATAGATGGCCCCTGCCACTCACAGCCTGTGTTTGGAGCTGCAGCTGCTTTCCCATGTTCCCACCGCCACATTCCTAAGAAATGTTTGCTTCAAAACTGGCGTGGGGGCTTGTGGTGTGGGGAGTTGCTGCTCTGTCATCCCCAGAAGGTGTGTGCATGGCCAAGCAGGCCCCTCTTGTGGCTTTAGGGTGACTTCCAATTAAGCCCCTGATTGCATCATACCCAGAAGGGACAGCTGGCACTCTGTCACGTTGTTCCTTGTCCTCCGTGCCTGCGGTAAGCGCTGCAGTCCAGGGTCATCTTCCTCTGTTGTGGTCAGCTGGCTCTGAGCATCCTGGGCACCTGAGGTTTGGCCAGAAGACCTAGGTTTCTGCCTCTTTTTATTTTTATTTTTTGCCTACAGCCTGGGTTTTCTGGGTAAGTATTCGTCTCCCTGACTTTCTGATGTCATTCAGTCCGTTCAGTCCCCCAATTCCAGTCTCACAGTGTATTGTCAGCCTGTGACCTAGTGGTGGGGATGCACAGACCCACGAGATGACTTTTTGGCTCTCAACAGGCACCTGGTCCACATAGGTTGACTCTTTGAGAGCACTGTTGGATGAGTCAGGCCGATTTGGATGGATCCCTGCTCTGCCACCCTTTGAGTTGCCTGCACATATGATCTTGCCCCTCCAGCTTCCATTTCCTCATCTGATAAATGCATGCAAGAATGCCTTGCTCATCTGGTGGGTCTGCTGTGTGAGCCACTGGCCTGACTCAGGATGGGTTCTTGGTCCCTGGAGGGAGGCAGCATCTTTTGGGAATCCCACGTGTGACCTGCCAGGCATGGGTTGTGTGAACCAAAGCCTATGCTGCATTGCCCTGTGCTGATTCTTCCCCATCTCTCCTCTCTTTCTAGCCTGTGACCTCATGACCCAGGGAATCTTGGCCTTGGTCACATCTACCAGCTGCGCATCCGCCAATGCTCTGCAGTCCCTCACAGATGCCATGCACATCCCACACCTCTTTGTGCAGCGCAACCCTGGGGGCTCTCCACGCACCGCCTGCCACCTGAACCCTAGCCCTGACGGCGAGGCCTACACACTGGCTTCAAGACCGCCTGTCCGCCTCAACGATGTCATGCTCAGGCTGGTGACTGAGCTGCACTGGCAGAAGTTCATCATGTTCTATGACAGCGAGTATGGTGAGTGGGGACTGCTACTGGGCTCAGGTGTAGGAGGATCTGAGGCCCGAGGCTTCACCTGTGGTGGCCCAGGGTTGATGCTTGGAGGCCTGAGCTGAGCGGGCCTTCAGTGGGAGGGCTTCATGAATTGGGAAGAGTTGAAAAACAGATCTGTAGATGGGCACTAAAGTTGCCTAGCAACGTACCTTATCATGACAGCTGAAGTTTGAATCATCTTAGAGTTTTCAATAAAATATTAATAAATTGCTGGCATAATTCGAAGGGCTGTGTGTGGGCGGTCATGGAGCTGACGGCCTAGGGTTCCTAGTGGCTTCTCCTCCAAAAATGCCCTTTGCGCTGGCCGGTGGCCTGGCTTCTGTTTACCTTGTCTCCCCCCAGCTTCAGGGCCTCAGGCTGGGGGAAAGGGCCAGGGCTGGGACCCTTTGATTGTCACGGGGCTGGCCTGGGTGCTGAGCCTGGGAGTGCTGTGCCTGGCTGGACATGGCTTCTTTGAAGGTCTCTCCTGTGGAAAACAAGATCATAATTAGCATTAGGAAACCGCAGAAATGGGCTTTGGGGAAACGGCTTCGTGGTTTGCTTATTGTTGCTCTGTATAAATAGCTAGTCTGTTTTGAGATAAAATGGTTTCCACATTTCGCTTGTAAAAATTATGGAGATTAAGGAGATTCACATGCAGTTATGAGAAATCATGTGGAGACACCTGTGCGCCCTTTACCGGGTTCCCCAAAGGGGGACACCATGTGTAACTAGTATGGGGTCACCACCGGGGTTTGACGTGGGCCCATCCTGTAGTTCTGTTCCTCTTTCCCCTGTTCATGTGCACTGTGCGTGTAGTTTTACATCTATGTGGTTTCACACATGTGCAGACCCATGTGAGCCTCAGTTGGGATGACAGATTCTCTCCTGGGGCCCTTGGATTATCCCTTAGTGGCCACGGCCACCCCTGGGTGTTCAAGGCTGAGGGGACTGGTGAGGGTTGGCAGCCCCATTGCTAGGGTCAAGATGGAATAGGGTGAACCCTTAAAAGTCCCATTTTGTCTCCTGGTGAAATAATTCCTTTGCCAAGAGTGTAACTAGAAAAAGAAATCAGCATATGTTTGCATTTGCCTAAATACTCTGCTTCCCAGAGACTGAGTTGCTGTCCTCCGTTCTTGAACAAATATGCTGTTTGGAGCCTTCCAGAAAGAATTGAAAGAGCAAACAGTGACTGTGCTGAAATAAAGATGAGGTAGTGGCGGGGATAAGGGTGGCCCGAGGCTCCCGGGACTCCACTAGACTCTGTCCAGGACCTGGCCTCTCTCTCTCACCCACATCCTGCAGAGGAGTTGGGGACCTTGTCACAGCCCTGAGGTGACACAGGGCATCTGAGAGGCCAGCCCTTCCCCTGAGAACCACATTGTGCTCTGGGCTATGCCCTGCAGCTGGTGCTGCAGCCAGGGCTGGGGTCCCCTCTGGTCTTGTGTGTGTGGCCCTTCCTATCCTGCTTCCCTGGTTGCCTTGCTGCCCTTCTGCCCTGGCCTGCAGGTATGGTTGTCCCCAGGGCTGGCAGGGGCCCAGCTCTGCAGCCTGCTGGCCCTGTCTGGGCTCTGTGATTCCTGCAGACAGCGTGACATCTGGCAGCACTTGCCCAAACTCCGTGTTCTTTTCATTGCCTCCTTATGTGCACTCTGCTCAGGAAGCAAGTCCCCAAGGGAAGACATCCTGCCACCCGCCTGGCCTATAGAGCTGCCATCTTTTGGTCAGTTTGCAGATAGTGGGCATATGTTTCTCACCACCATAGGCCCTGGTCTGGGGCTCCTTCAAGAACTGGCCCCCAGGCGAATAAGCAAACTCACAGACAAAGCCATAAGTTTCCAAACAGTTCTCCCAGAAGACAAAAGAGATAGGGAGAAAAATGAGGTAAGATTCTGGGATCCTGGTAGCTTTCATCCAGTGGATCACTGTGGGGGACTTGTTTGAAGTATTCCAAGATGCCCAGAAATTACTGTGATTGTCTTGTGAGCTTCCATGGTGCAAGGGAGGCACTGGCCCCAACCTGCCATGCTTGCTGGTTATGATCTGGAGGGTGGAGATAATTGGACCACCTGGGCACAGTATACTTAGCTGGAAACTGATGTCAGGGCCTGGTGCTCCCACAGTGGAGCTCCCGAGGGTGCTGACCCACTTGGCTTTGGCCCTCTGAGGACAGAGCTCTTGTATTGTGGTCTTGGCAGGACCACCTGTCTTTGCTAACCCTAGTCACTGGTCTCTTGCGTTAACAATGAGGCTAGGTTCTGCCTCAAGCATTCGTTGCAAGATTTTAACCATCCCAGTACTTGTTGCTTGTGCCAGCTGTTCCTTGTTGTCCAACATGCTGTGTGCTAGGTGAGCCAAAGCTGCTGAAGTCCTTGTCCCCTTTGATGAATGCTGTGGGTGGAGTCACACTGCAAGACAAATGGTGCTTGTGGGCTCCCCAGGAGCCCTCTCCAACCCCACCCTACAGCACTGCCTGCACATGAACCCATGAAAAAGCAAATTGAGTGTGAAGACTGTTTCATGCCTTGCAAAGTCAAACAGAAGTGGTTTGGGGGTAGAGTGACTTTTCTTGATGCTGCTCTGTAAGTATCTTCATATATATATTGTTTCATTTATACCACCCAAAGCTCTCTGAGGTTGGATGATTGTTGCATTTTACAAATGACAGAAATTAGGCTCAGAGAGATTCTTTTTGACTTTATAAGACTCATGCACTCACCCATAGCACCATCCTATATCTAGAATTTGGGACTTGCTAAGCTGCAGCTTCCTTTCTTGTCCCCAGAGAGGAAAACTGATGACAAGAAGAAGGGAGGGAGGCTTACAATGAGCTCGGCATGCCCTGGAATGGTGGTCAGCCACTTTAGGGAACGTCACCCATAGGGTCCCTTCTTGGTGGAGGGAGGCTTGATTCTTCCTCATTTGCCTCCCTTTACACCCAAGAGGGTCTTGCCTGAGTGGAACCTGGGACTAGGCATTTGAGAACAGGCACGAGGATCATAAGTTTGGGGCCAGCTTGGGCTACATAGTGAGACCCCACCTCAGAGAACCAAAAAGCAAACAAATAAAAGAGTCAAAGACCATAGCAGGAAGAGAAACGGGCCCCCAGGCCGAATTTGGCAGAGTGGTATTATCTTAGTCACTTTCCCCACCACTGAGACAAAATTCCCAACACCCACACCTTAAGAGAGGAGAGGTTTATTTGGGCTCACATTTCAGTCATAGTTGGCCAGCTCCAAGGCAGAACAGTGTGGCAGAGGGGCCTGGTGGAAGAGAGCTGCTCACCTCATGGCAGATAGGAAGTAGAGAGAGTGGGATATAGCTGGAGAGGGAGATGAAGCCTTCCAGGCCACACTGTCTATGGCCTACCTCTTCCAACCAGACCCTGCCTCCTAAAAGCAAGCCAGCTCTAAGCCCCAATAATCCAGTCGCCTCCCACACACACGAGGCTGTGTGTGTGTGTGCTTTGTAGATATAAACCATAACAGGTGTCCCCTAAAGGTCCAGGCCCCAGGGTGGTCCTATGGTGAGGTGCTGTGGCCTGTAAGAGGCAGGGCCTGGTGGGAGGGCTGAGGTCACTGGGGGCATAGTCCTGAAGGGGGATCCTGGAACCTCAGTCTCTCATCTTCCTATTTCCTGGCTTGTGATGTAAGCAGTTTGCTCCCCCTACACTCCCACCATAATGCACCACCCTTGCCAGAGGTGCAAAGCAGTGAGGCCACCTGATTTTGAACCCAAACCTCCAGAACTGTGAGCCAAAAGAAACCTTTCCCTTTATAAATTAATTGCTGCAGGTATTTCATTGCAGTGATGGAAAGCCAACTAATGCGAGGTGAGAGAGGAGTTTGTATGTGTACCATTTACAAAATATGCAATGTGTCACTTGGTAAAATTCCATGGAAAATACTTGTATGCTTGTTGTGACAGCAAAAGGAAAAATATGAGAGAAACTGACATTTAGGATAGAAAATCTGTAACATTGAAATACCAAAAGTTTGGATTGAACAGAACAGAAAACTTTGTGTTGCCACTTTGAATGCTGGGATATTTGTGCGTATGTGTGTGTGTTGGGGGTGGGTGCTAGTAGCTGTAGTCAGTTTCTCTCTAGTGAATAAATTTGGATGAGGGCTGCAGTTGTGATGGGATCTTAGACATCACTGACTCATTCATTCATCAGATATTCAGAGTCCCTACCATGCACCATGTATTTTGCCAGGCATGCATTTTAGTAAAGAAACTGAGGGCTGGAGTGACTTGGCTAAAGTTGCACAGGGCTGGGATTGGAAGCCAGGGTTCAGGGACCCTTTTCTTTTAAAGTATTTCCAGAGTATGACTGACCTGTCTTAGCCTCTGGTCCAGCTTGTAGGCTCGGGATGGGTTAGGAGTTGGGATTCTGCAGAAACAAACCTTCAGTCTTCTGCATGAGTACCTAGGGCCCTATTGGGCTAATTTAAAAATTACTCTTTAAAAAAGGAAAGTTGCAATGTATCTGTACAATTAAAAGAACAATAAAGAAATCAATGTTCAGAACCCACAGTCAGTTGTCAAACCATGAAGGAGCCTTATGGGCTTCACTCTGACTGTTTCCTCCCATGCCAAGGGGACTTAGCCACTGTCTTGATTGTGTGCTGTCCAATACCTGGCTATGCTGAGACTTACGATCCTAAAGTATACATCACTTCGTTGGGCTCTCTGTGACTCTTATATATGTCAAATACTTCTTCCGTGTGTTTCTGTGATTGCTTTCTTCACTCAGCATTAGGTGTTGAGTTATCCAGCTGATGCAGATGCGTTTATCATTTTTATTGCTGCACAGTTTGTCCAATTTATTTACCCATCTTATTGTTAATGAGCATTTGGGCTGTTTCCAGGCTTTTTGTTATTACTGAGAATAATGAGAACTTCCTTGTATTTTTCCTTTGTTGTTTGCATGTGAGAGTTTTTGGGGGTCTGTTCAGAGGAGTGGAATAGATAGATGCCCAGGT